GAAAAAATAAAGATGTATGGGTCTGATGAGAGGAGGGAGAATAATGAAGGAAGATGATAAATGGAGGTGAGATGGAGGAGGAGGAGGAGGAGGAGGAGGAGGAGGAGGAGGAGGAGGAGGAGGAGGGTGGGGAGGAAGAAGAAGTGGAGAAGGAATAGGAGGGGAAGGAGAAGGAAAACGAGGGGGGAGGAAGAAGAGGAGGAGGAGGATGGGGAGGGAGGAAGAAGAGTAAGAGGAGGAGGAGGAGGTAAGGGGAAGGGAGGGTAAAGGGGGAGAGAGGGGGAGGGGGTAACAAGAAGTCGAAGTGGCGACGGCGGTCTCGTCTGGTATATTCATTCGGGCCGAGGCATGGCCAGAACTGTGCACGTAATCTAACACTGTCCTGTCCGTCGAGACATTGCCCTCCCCTCCCCCCTTTCCTTCATCTCCTCCCTGATTTACAGTGCCCCCTCCTTCACCACTGTGCCCTCCCTCCCCCTCTTCTCCCTTTCCTTCGTCTCCTCCCCAATTGACAATGCCTTTTCTTCCCAGCCATTATCCCTACCATACCATCTCTCCTTTACCTCCTCCCCGATTTATAGTACCCCCTCCTTCCCCACTATCACCCCTATCCCCCCTCCCATTCCATCCCCTTCCCTCCCCACCAACACACTAATCTTCCCTTCCATCCTTTGCTGCCTTCCGTTCTCTTGCACACGTCACTTCGCCCACTTGTTTATAAGCGACGTGGCACTCTTAATTTAGTACTGCATCCTTCACACAGTCCTTTGCTCTGCCCCCCCCCCCCCTCCTCCCATATCAAATCTCCCCTCCCCCCCTCCTCCCTCCTCCCGGTTGATGGTTCTGCTTATGCGGAAACGTCTTTAGCTTAAGTGAGTGCAGGATCTGGCTGTATGTCTCTTTCTCTTTCTCTTTCTCTTTCTCCTTCACCTCTTTCTCTCTCTCTGTATATTTATATCTATCTGTCTATCTATCTATCAATCTATCTATCTATCTATTTATTTATCTCTCCCTCCCTGCCTCCCTCCCTCTCCGACCTCCTCTCTCTCCCTCTCCCCCCCTCTCCCTCCATCACCTCTTCTCTTACCCAATGCCTCTCTCCCCTCCCTCCCTCAGTCCCCTTCTCCCTCCCTCCCTCTGTCCCCTTCTCCCTCCCTCCACCCTCCTCTCTCTTCTCTCTCCTCTCTCTCTCTCTCTCTCTCTCTCTCTCTCTCTCTCTCTCTCTCTCTCTCTCTCTCTCTCTCTCTCTCTCTCTCTCTCTCTCTCTCTCATCCATCATTTTTTTTCTCTCTCTGCTTGTCCACCGGTCAGCTGATCCCCTCCCACCCTGCTCGCGAGAAGAGGCTGTTCCTTCTTCTCTGAGGCCGCCCCTGCAGTTGATATGTTGCATCGCATGAGCCACGTGTTCGTTCTCTTCATAATTGCTGTTTTAGGATAGCTGGTCATTCTTGCCTCCTCTGACTGTCTGTCGAGCTGTCTGACTGTCTGTGGATCTGTGGGTTTGTGTTGTGTGTCTGTCCGTTTCTCTGTTTGTTTGGTTGTTGTTTTATTATTCTCTCTCTCTCTCTCTCTCTCTCTCTCTCTCTCTCTCTCTCTCTCTCTCTCTCTCTCTCTCTCTCTCTCTCTCTCTCTCTCTCTCTCTCTCTCTCTCTCTCTCTCTCTCTCTCTCTCTCTCTCTCTCTCTCTCTCTCTCTCTCTCTCTCTCTCTCTCTCTCCTCTCTCTCTCTCTCTCTCTCTGTGTGTGTGTGTGTGTGTGTGTATGTGTGTGTGTGTGTGTGTGTGGTGTGTGGTGTGTGTGTGTGTGTGTGTGTATGTGTATGTGTGTGTGTGTGTGTGTGTGTGTGTGTGTGTGTGTGTGTGTGTGTGTGTGTGTGTGTGTGTGTGTGTGTGTGTGTGTGTGTGTGTGTGTGTGTGCGTGCGTGTGTCTGTGTGTCCTTCTCCTTCCTCTCTTCAGGCCCGTCATGCATTTTGATAGCAAGAACAACTCTTCGCTATCACAAATCTTCTGTTCATCCTTATGACTCCTCATTTTAACTCGGCTAAATCCCTTTTTACTCTAACTAATCCTCGAGATAACCGGAGTCCTACGCCCAGGCAAGAGCTCTTTCCCCTCGCCTCCCTCCTACCCCCCCCCTCCCACCACCACCACCACCACATCCCCACACTTCCAACACCCAACCCCCACCCCCACCCACCACCCCCCCATTCCACGTAACCCCCCCACCACCACCACCACCACATCCCCAAACTCCCAACACCCCTCCCCCCACGACTCCCCCCTCCCCTTCCCCCCACTCCACGTAACCCCCCCCCCCCCACCACCACCACCACATCCCCAAACTCCCAATACTCCTCCCCCCATGACTCCCCCCTCCCCTCCCCTACCCCCCCACTCCACGTAACAACCCCCCCCCATCCACCCCCCACCCCCCGCGCTTCATGTTCTCTCGAGGTCCTCTTCAACTTCCTCTTCTCGTCACGAATGACCTTGCTTGCGCGTTTTTTTGAGGGGGGGGGGTGTCCCGGGGTCAGGGGATAGAGGTAAGGTCAGGTGGGGGGTGGGGGTGGGGGAGTTCCTTCTTTATGCTGATTGAACCTTTCTTTGTAAGTTGGTTAATGTTGTAGAGATAATATATTTGTATTTGTATTTTTATGGGCATTTAAAAAAGTAGCGAGGCAGGTTAATAGTTGTTGTCGTTGTTTTAAGTGGAAAAAGGGAGGAAAACTAGATAAAAGAATTGAGAGAAATATAAAAAACTACCATGTTTATACAGAAATTATGGCATGTAATTTAATCATAACATAAAAACTGCATCGCTACAAAAACACAACAAAAAGATGAAATTCTCGTTCAAAGGCTGTGGTAATGCTTTTAATTGGAGAATGAGTAAAAAGTAGGATACGTAAATAACATTAACGTGAATAATAATAAATACTTTATAGAGACAACAGTAACACCAAATCACACACACACACACACACACACACACTCACACTCACACTCACACTCACACTCACACTCACACACACACTCACACTCACACACACACACACACACACACACACACACACACACACACACACACACACACACACACACACACACACACACACACACACACACACACACACACGCTCACACACACATACACACACACACACACACACACACACACACACACACACACACACACACACACACACACACACACACACACACACACACACACACACACACACAAAGGACACCACATTAATCCATAACAACCAAACGGCACATACATGTTCGAGTTTTAAGTCAATTTCCTCCGCCGTCATTAATTTCCGAGACGATTTTCCTCACGGCCCAAGGAGATGTCGGGAGATGATAAACAAACTTACCGACTCCCACATCTCCGTGTCCTTCTTGGGTTCCAGCATCCTTCTTCCCACGAAAATCCCTCGTGCAGAGTCTCCCCTCCATCTATCATCTCCTTCACCTTAGAAGGCACCACGACGCTCCGACCACAAGATTCGGGCGCGACTGAGGAACCTTCTCAAGATTAATTATTGTGGGTCTGGACGTCTCTCATTTAGTCTGCGCTGCTCTGTCGGTGTCTCTGCCTCTGTTTGTTTGTCTGGCTCTGTCTCGGACTGCCTGCTTCTCCCTTTCTCTCTCTCTCTCTCTCTCTCTCTCTCTCTCTCTCTCTCTCTCTCTCTCTCTCTCTCTCTCTCTCTCTCTCTCTCTCTCTCTCTGTGTGTGTATGTGTGTGTGTATGTGTGTGTGTGTGTGTGTGTTTGTGTGTGTGTGTGTGTGTGTGTGTGTGTGTGTGTGTGTGTGTGTGTGTGTGTGTGTGTGTGTGTGTGTGTGTGTGTGTGTGTGTGAGAGAGAGAGAGAGAGAGAGAGAGAGAGAGAGAGAGAGAGAGAGAGAGAGAGAGAGAGAGAGAGAGAGAGAGACTGCCTGACTATAGACCAGCAAAAACGAGCGGGGCCAAAGAGCAGAAAATAACCCATGATAGTGAGGACACCTGTTCCCTGACACACGATACGCTTGTGCTGGGCTGCAAAAACCACCAAAGAAAATGGACACACGGTTCTAAAGTGGACGACTCGGCATCACTCGAGCCTCGTAGAAAACGGCTTTCGGAGGTTTTGCCCGCGAGAAAATGAAGATCGGGTTGCGCAGAGAAAGAAACAAAGAAATAAAAGAAATGAAGCGAGAGGCTTGTCTGTTTGGCGTGCAGGTACATTTGTTGCAAGGCGGAGCTAGGAAGCAGGAATGGGCGTAGCGTTATTGCAGACAACGGGATTAGAGTCAGGGAGGTTCAAGGACGAATGGAATGCTAAATGCAGAATAAATAAACGAATAAGAATGGTAAGCAAATTAAAGAAGGAAAAAGAAACAAATGGAAAATAAGTAGTTATATAATGATGATATAAAAACAAAAGAAAAAGAAAAACAAAATTCGTTCAGCAAGATTCGAATCTTGTCCATTGTCAAAGCGATGCTGATCATCTCGAAGATAGAGGCTCGGGTAAATGATCTCCGACGATGTTGGACAGGATGACTCGCCGAATAAGCAGCGCCATATCAAGAAAAAAATCAAGAAAAAAAGAGAAGAAAAATAAACTCAAGCCCGTCGAAGCCAACAAGCGAGGCAGTCGTCCTGGAAGCGGCCGCGCGAGTCGAAGTGGCCGAAGGAGGTCGAACCAGATTGCGCTTGATATCCGAAGCTGGGTTGTGATTGGCTGAGCTTTTAGCATGTTGGGTAAGGGGGGGGGGGATATCTTAGGTGTTGGTTTTATGCGGCGGCACGAGGCTCGCCCATACAAACACCGCGGACAATAGCGGACACGGGACCAGCGCGACGCCAGTGGATGCGCCTTGAATTCAATAACTTACGTTTCATTGACGTGAATCTCGACTTCTATATTGTGGCGACGTCAAGCCTGCACACAAATCCGCAACGTTACTTATGCTTTTAATCTCGTAAAATATAAAGGAGGACCAAAATCCCCG